CAAGCTTTTCCCTGGCATCTCCCCAGTAAAGTTTTGTAACAACGGTGATCTACAAAACAGGTTGGTAATGGAATGCAAAAATCAACAACCATAAAACATATATAATACCATGAATGAATCAGGCACGCATATGAAGCGCTGAAATTGGTTTTGTCTTTTTTTAAGCCAGTTCAGATTGAAAAACTACAAATCTCAATTGGGAATCAATAGACCTAGATGATTTTAGAAAAGTCCAACCTCTTTCTGTCTGGAGGCAGTGTCAAGAGTGTCAAGAACTTCTATATCAGTTTTCACATCGTACTTGTTCATGATCTCTGGTTCTCTGAACTCAGACAAAGGGATAAGCGCTACGAAAACCCAAATCGACCCAGATCAGATCGGCACTGAACATGATTAATGTTGAAATCAATCCAGACAAAAACAAGAAAAATTAACAACTTACGAGAACCGGATTTGGCCCAGAGATTGTTGTGAGAATCATCCAGAGAATTGGCACTGATGTGGATGATATAAAGACTGTCTCCTTTGTCTGCCAAATTATCTATGGCCCATTTCAGGGCGTTCTTGCTATTGTTAGAGAAGTCCATCGCCACCCCTATCTTCCTGTCGCCCGGCATTTTCCCCTTCCTTTTCTTCTTCTTCTTCTTCTGTTGTTGATGGCTTTTTTTCTCCGGATAATGGAAAGCAAATTCTTCGTATGCACGTTACTAAACAGGATGGGGGCACACTGGATCGGTTGGTTTCCCCCCAAAAAGATTAATTAATCTGGAGCGTACACGTGTATATCATGAGACGGTGGGTCCAGATCCCAATAGATGGTAGCGTGAAGGGCTTCATATTATTTTGTTTATCGTGATGGAGGATGAAACTCCAAACCATTCCTGGATTTGATTTTTGATTACCTTCGACAAAATGCCGTAAATGTCGTAAATGGAAAGAACTATCTAGTCTATCATGTGGAATTGGAGCCGCAGTTACAAAATGGGGTAAAATTATAATATTGTAATAAATAAATATAATATAATAT